TTTTTCAGAATTGGCAAGATATTACTCTTATCAATATGCATTTCAACTCTTTTATCTTCTCCTTTTCCAGCTCTGCAACACTCAAGCTATCGTAAGTTCATTTAAAGTAGAAGTAGAGCTGAAATATATTAAGATTTTAGCGCAGCATAAGAAGCTCATAATTTTATATGATTTGAGGAGCTACAAACAGAACCGCTGGATTTAACAATATCAAGAGTGTGTGGTGGACGGATTGAACTACCAGATGCATCAATAGCAGAAGTGAGTGGGGGACAAGCGGAACTCAGCGAAACTGATCATGAAGATGCAAGGTCATTGAACTTAGTAATTCAAGAAGCGAGTAGGGAACAAACAGGTGTAAGAGATATGCCAAAGAAAATTTGGCTTAAGAGGTATGAAAATGAAGCATCCAACAACCAAATACTCAAAAGGAAACATCCAGAAAATACGACTCACACAGGTGAGAAGCTGTTGAAATGCGAAATATCCAAGAAGGATTTCGTTGCTTCACCGAGCACACATACGATGAATCATACGAGTGAGAAGCCGTTCTTTTGTTCGGAATGCAACACGAGTTTCAGCTGGCTATCGTATCTGGATAGACATATGAAGATTCATACCGGTGAGAAGCCGTATTCTTGTTCGGAATGTGGGAAGAACTTCACCCAATTATCGCATCTGCGTGTACATGAGAAAATTCATACCAGGGAGAAGCCGCATTCTTGTTCGAAATGTGGGAAGAATTTCAGCTACTTATCGAATCTGCGCACACATGAGGAAATTCATGCCGGTGTGAAGTACCCCTGTCTGAAATGTAACAAAAGCTTCTCCCAATCGGGAAATATGAGAAGACACATGAAGGTTCATGGCAATGCTGACCCGGATTCAGTTGAACTGTATGAGGTAAAGCTTTCCTGTGGAAATTTTCTTTGAAATCACACATGATGGGCTGATAAACACATTTTAAACCGAAATACGCATTGCTATTTTGCTATATTTTCTATAGAGCAAATTCATTTTTCCTTGCTGTATTGTTAGCACTGTATTCCTTCATATGAAAATTGGTATTGTTCTTCTAAGACTTCTTTTTCGTTCTTCTTATCGTGGTGAATAAAATTTCCCTTTTCGTGTTTACTTGCAACTAACTAAACATGTTTTTCATTATTAATGCGAATATATGACGAGCAGGCAACCTGCATGCCGTGCATGAAAAACCTGCAATTAAGTTATTAAATTACTGATGAAATGGTATTGTCTCAAGTGAATTCCTCACTCGATTATTGCACAAACAACACTGAAGTAAAATTTTGGCAACGAAAAGTCTTTTTCTTAATCACAGCAGTTGAGATCTCCCATCATTTCATAGGGTTACCTATCCATTTCGTTTGTCAATTCACAGTTAACTTGCAAAGTTTCGTTGAGGACAATAGGAAAAGTTTCGCTGAGGACAACAAGTGTTGTGAAAAAGAAAAGTCTTTTTGTTGCCAAAAATTTGCTTCCATGTTGTTTGTGTAATAATCGAGTGATCCAAGAAGGATTTCGTTGCTCCATCGAGCACACATGCGATGAATCATAGGAATGAGAAACTGTTCCCTTGTTCGGAATGCAACACGAGTTTCATCTGGCCATCACATCTGAATAGACATACGAAGATTCATACCGGTGAGAAATGAGAAATATTCTTGTCCGGAATGTGGGAAGAATTTCGCCCAGTTATCGAATCTGCGCACACATGAAGAAAATTCAT